GCCCCGGCCCACCCGCCAGCAGAAAATAGACGGTGGCCCGCACGACGGGCCATGGTTTCCAGGGTGTGAGCCGCGAAACAATGGTGAGAAGAGTCATGAAGGCGAGACACGTCCCGGACGCAACGTACCCGTAGGTGAACTACTCGTCGTCAGCATGATGCGAAGATGACGGGCAAAAACCCGGCCGCACTTACCACGAGCTCAAACCTGTCCCAGGTGTCTTGGTTTATCGTCGTCTCAAAGCCGCCTCCCAGCGTGTCAATAGTGACGTCATCCTTGCCCTGGTCGATAAACTCCTGGGTGAGATCGACGTCAAAGGTGGCAAAGAGGCTGTTCTGCATGGTTATGGAGAGGGTTAAAAAGACGTCGGTCACGAAGTCGGTCGTGTTCTCGGGGGGCAGGTCGGCCTCGGCTTGGGTGGCGGAGAACTTGGCCAGCTGGGGCCAGAAGTCGTCCGGGATGGCGCTGATGTTTCGGATGGCGGTTTCGATGGTTTCGATGAGGGTCTGCCACTTGGGGTTGTAATCGGCGAAGAACTTGGTGACCTCGGCCGAGATGTTGGCGTGGACGTCGGCGCTGGTGGCGCGGGAGACGGCGTCCATGTCGGCGGTGATCCAGTTGGAGCTGAGGTGGTTGAGGACGTCGACAATCTTGGACCACAGGACGAACTGGGTGAAGCCCTGCATGAAGAGGACCATGGCGAGGTGGAAGGGGAAGTGGAGGACGGCCCAGGTTTGCTGCCGCCAGCCGGGGAGGTGCTGCGACTTCATCCAGTCAAAGTAGACGAGGAAGACGAAGTACGTTGTCGAGGCGCCGGCGGTGACGATGCCGATGATGAGGGGGTCTGGATTTGCTGTCAGGGTTTTGACAAGAGCTCGCGATGGGCAAGGCGGAGAAGACATACTCCACGCCTCGGGCGACTTGACTATCGTCACGACCTTTTCGGCCAGCACTACAATGCCGTCGCCGAGAATGATGATGGTCAGGAGACTCAAGCGGCCCATGAGATGGGTCTTGGTGAAGCTTAGGACGTCGTGGTACAGCCCGAGACCAAGGGAGAAGAGGGCCTCGGCAGCGCTGACAATGTACCACGCGATGAAGGCGTGGCTGTGGTGGTATTGGAGGTGGAACGAGATGCCGAGATAGATCAGGGCCGCGAGGGAGTGGACGGCTATCTGGGCGCAGAATGCCGGCCGAACTTTTTTGAACTTGCGGACGTGCCATAATATGCTGCTATATTCTGCTACCAGGCAGAGGCGGGAGATCATTAGTATGAGGGCTGTGCGAAGATGCATTAGTCTCTTCTTCTCCCTTTCTTTGACGAGGGGAGGAAAGGGGCAGACGAGAAAGCATACACGTGGCTTGCAAAGTGCTCTCGTGGTTCTTTTCCTCGGGTCTAAAATTAGGAGCGACGACTGCGAAACCGACCATGACGCCGAGATGGATGGCCCGTGCTACTCGTTCTATGAGCGAGTTAGTATATGCGCTCTGCCTGCCTTGAAAGAAGACACAGGTGGTTGGCCCGGGTAGCGTACCAAAGATGCTGTCTGTCACAAACCGAACATCGTAAAGCGCCACCGCGAGCCAAGTAAACCACAGCACCCTATCAAACAGTCAGCAAAGACAAAAAATGGCTCAGACGGATCATCAAGTTTGTTGTTGGCGGGAGAACAAACGTGAAGTAGCCAATGTAGCCGGCGATTCTACTACTGCTCGTGACAGACTGATTCTTGGAAAAGACGGTGTAGCTCGCAGCAAAGAAGAGGTCGAAGAAGATCTCGAGCATGTTCGCTTGCTCATGCTATATCCGTCAACTAGGTTAGCATATTTCTTTTCTTTTCTCTTCTTTTTTATGCCCCCGTGACGCTCCGGGGCCAAAATGCCCCCAAACGTGAGAAAGACGTCGGATACGAACCCTTTGAAACTCTGGAGCATCGTCTCTGTACCGGTCACCGAAAGCGCTCAAGTTTGGCTCGTCGGGGAATTTGTCGTTGCTCATGACCAGCGGGCTCTTGATGAGCTTGAGCTTCTGCTGGGGAGCGGCGGCGTAGTGGCCGTGCGTGGCAGCCATTTGCAAGATGGCCCCCAGGAAGCTCAGCATGGTGGCTATAGGTTCAATATTTCCATGGAGATTCTTGACTCCAAGTCTGCAGGTTCGAGGCTTTCTTTTTTCGTAGAAGCGTCAAGGGGCGCCGATGGCCGTCCTGCATTATTCAACCGGCCGGTAGTTGAAAGGCCTCCGTTGACTAGGCCAGACGCTAGACGGTAGGGCTGATGGGGTAATGGCGTGTCTTTGACCCATTTCATCTTCAGGGATGCCGTCGTATCAGGGGGGATGAAGTTTATAATCTTGGACCGGTCCGTCAATTTAATGGGTATGAACCCACATGCCGCCAGGGTGGTGCAACGGCGACGATGTAGCGACGGAGCAGTAACAGGGACTGTCTACGGGTCACGAGGTAACAGGGACTGTCTACGGGTCACGAGGGCTTGAAGCAATGCAATGGCTGCAGACATCTGGAGTCTTTGTCAAAAACGCCCAGTTGTAGGACCGGTTTCGAGGGGATTTCTGGGAACCTCGACTTGCTACATTCATCATCAGCCGCCACACACCGGTTCCCGCCATTGGTAAGGACAGACGAACCGTGATTATCAGATGTGCATACAGCAGTTGTTTCAAAAAGCTTGCCATGACTAGTTCAGCCTCAAAACTTTGCTCGACGGCTACACCTTTCTCCACCCAGCAGGGGATCGGCAGTCGGTCGTCTCGCAAGCGACCTCGTTCGGTCTCATTCCTCGTTCTTCATCAACGGCCGTTCCGCCAATGAGACTCTGTCCCAGGGGTCGGGGACTCCTGGACTGGGTGCCTGTTTGTTGGAACTTGGAAGGGATAAAGTCAAGGTCGTCAGATAGATTAAATCGTCAGCCCAACAGCCCGAAACCCACCTTACCCACCATCGAAAAAAAAATTACATAAATAGCAAAATCTATGGACAGGGATATTACGCGGCAGCAAAAATGCCTTTTTTTTCGCAAGTCCTCTTGATTGCATCTCCCCGGTTTTCGTCGTCTGTATCGTCTTCATAACGGCCATAACGCCACGCCATTCCTGAAAAATGGTTGCAGACGATAACTAGTCACAACTTCAACTCTGCTCTGTGGCGTCCAGGAAGGAAATGCCTCTTGATTATGCAACACGTTGAATGTGGTCACGTGGTGAAGGCCGTGCCTCGCTGATTGTCCGTCGATGGGTTATTTTCCGGCTTCGCAATCTTTTCCTAGCACGCTACGACAGCGCCTGACATCTGGTGTGCCCGTAGACTTGAGGATGATTGCAGATGGCACGCCCAAGCAGACGTTGATGGCCGTTTCGGACACCATGTTAGCCTCCGCATCCTCCGATCCGGGCCTACCCTGTTCGCACGCATGGGCTGACGATCGCCCAGCAGACGCTGCTATTCACGGCCCTGAATCCGAGATGGAGATTCTCATTTACTATAACGGGAATTCTATTAGCATACGTAAACGATAATGACGGTTTAGCCATCTTCTCCTTTCTCGAAAACCCGCATTGTCACCTTCTCTAATAGCCCGCCTTTAGCTGTTTGTGTGTCGGGAGGAATATAGATGTTTTCCTATTTTCTTTGGCTCCGCCTGCGTGTTTATATCCTACCACTACCAGTTAGCGGCGTGATTACTCGCATTTTATTATCATGTGCTACCTTTTCAGTGTTGAGAAGCCCCCTATTTAATAAGACCAGACTAGAACACTATCAACATGTTCGCGTGGTAGCTTTCCATTCATAGCGTCAAGGCAAAATAAATTCCATATATTTCATTCTCACTCATCCAATTTTCGCTCTGCGTAACTTGAACCGAACCCCGGCAACTCGGCGTCTCCGTTTAGTCCCAGTTATTAAACCAATCACGACTATAAACCAGCCACGTCGGGACCACTCTACTATTCGTGAATAGTATCCATAACAGATTGCCGGAAATGCCGTGTTGCGTTGCGGCGTTGCGGCGTTGCGGATTCCTTGGAAGAGCAACCCAAAGGTTAGTATTAACGAGCTTGCTCCGTTACTGGCAAGGAGAGAGACTACCATCTGTTCACACCAACATTCCCAAGATGACGGAGGCCGTTTGGTCCGACAATAACAGGTTCTTGCACGAAATCCTGAAAGGACAGACCAGAATTTTGCGTAAAAAAATACACAATTGCTCAAAAGCCAAATAAAATAAAATACTAAAATAATATAGTGGTTGTGTTCATTGCTTGCCCCACGCACTCAGATTTCGGATGATTGTACCCCTTGCAGTCAACAGCTCTGACGTGCCACGGGGTATCATAGTATTCTACAATAGGGCTGTAGAATTAGTACACATAACCACAGGCACAGAGGTTGGACTTTGGAAAAGATTTAATTTAGTTGTCTTAAGACTAAAAGAGTGTCACAATTGAGCAGCCATGGATAGAGTCGAATAGTGGCATTAGTCCTTGATTGAAGCTCTCTATCGAGGGAATTGAGGCCTCTTTTGTTGTTGACGATGACCTCGAACGGCCTGCATCTTCAGCGCCTCGAAGCTCCGTCGAAGCAGCCTAGCAGCTAGCGATTCGGATACAGCGTTTTCCGTTGACAGAGAGACCAAGTAGACTTGGCTGGCTTTGTTCAGGATGCCGTAATTTCGAACTCGGCTACTTCGCCTAGAGGCGTGCCATCCCAGTACGGGCCTTGCTGGTAAAAGTTGACTTGAACATTGTATCTTCCGGGCAGCAGCTTCTCTTTTTGAGCAACCGTGAATGACATGCGGCTGGTCTTTTCTGAATAAAACGTCCAAACACGCGGCTTGGGATGGACTCTTTTCAAAGTGACTCTGACTGTCACATCGGCAGGATATAGTTCTTTCTCGTAATACCAAGCCGATCCCCACAAGTACTGCGACTTTTCTCGAAACACGGTCAATTTAAACACGTCGGTTTGGGTCGGGAGGCAAAATCGAACTTTGGACCATGTCCACTGGTCTTGACCGTACCATTCATGCCAGTGGCTACAGTCATAAGTCGCTGGGTTCTTGGTGTCTGGGTCTTTTGCCGAGACCAAGCGATCAAACGCCTTGATCTCAACCGGGGAAGACTGTGCGGTCTAGGTATTTCGCGTGAGCGCTAATTATAAATTAGAGCGCAGAATTCACTTACCAGGTATGGCTTCCATTTTTTGTAATATTCGTTGGATAGCGCGAAAAGTGCTTGAACCGTTTCTAAAGCATTATCTGGATTTCTAGCAGTCTCGCGAATCTGGCATCTTGTATCAGTAGACTAATTTAGACGTTGGTGAACTGGAGACATACCCAGTTCTTTTGGGCATTGATTAATCGAGTCTCGTGCAGCTGGATCTCACGGTCCTCTTCTTGACTCAAAGCTTCTCCTATAGTAAAAAGTTGAGTATTTCAATAGCGCAAATGCAAGTGATGGGTATCTTACGCATCTGTAGAGTTTTTCGCAATTCCGTATGCTTAACCATCTCCCCCAGGAGCTGGTAAGCTACAGCGCCCGCAGTAGTATAGTGCACTATCGATTGGTTCTGGGGGAAGTTTCCAATATTCGTATACGTATCAAGAAGAGTCTGGTAGCTGTAATCCTGGTCACAAGCCATTTCGAGAAACGTGTCTGCCCATGATTTGGCGGATGCAAATATTTGCTGAGCCGAGTTTTGCTCGTCGGAAGGCTCCGACCGGCCTTGTAATTGTCGACCAATATCGCCTTGGTAAAAGATCTTGACCTTTACTTGTGCTTGCTTGCTTAGTTTTTCCATGTTTTTTGCAACCTCGGTACTGAGTTGACCTGAAACCCCCCAGAAACCCAATGAGGCCTCAGCACTTAAAAAAAAAAAACAAGTTAGTCCTTCCTAATTGTAGCCTTTGCACTCTCAAGACTTACGTGGCTTTGATATCTTCCTTGTCAGATGCTTCGTCAAATGTAAGCATTATTCGAGCCATTAATTTACCGCCCATCTCAAAGCCTAGCATGGTGTTAGCTTTACACTTGTATGTATGTGAAATAACTTGCCTCGAATCCACCGGTTTCCAAAGAGTGTGGGAAATGGCCTTTCAATTGCCTCATAAAGTTGAGTGTTGAATGTAAATTTTTCGTGGGGAACTCGACGCTGTTTGTTGATGCTTATCGACGCGATAAAGGTCAAGGAATTAGAAGAGAATGCCGACTCATCAAGATAACTGCCTGATATAGAGGCTTCTTGACCATAACCTGAAATACTCGTGGCCGCATTTACGCCAAGAGCCTTCAAGTAAGAGGTGTAATCCGATACAAACTCAATATGTGAGTGAACCTCGGCTTGGCATCCTTTTACACTCATTTTTTTGTCGGAAATCATGTTAGTAGCCCCGTTTCTTTTTTCCTTGTCAGATGACGCTTTGTTGGCCTCGTCAATAATTCTTGCAAGCTCTTCTGGCGAAGTTGGCGTAAAATATCCGTCCAGATCCACGCCAGGCATAACTGGACCTGGTTCTGTGAAATTAAACCTGCCAGTTGAGTTCTTGTTGCCGGGTCTTTCGGATCGGTTGTTGATGGAGTTTGCGGCCGCGTCCTTTTCGGATGTGGTCATGACGGCGTCGTGAATCAGACCTCGACCAAGAAAGGTATTATACCTACTGAAGTTAGCACGTTTAGGCCTGAATTTCACGGTTACCATACCCTTGTCCCATGGTCAATTCATCCTGATACGGCACCTTGAGTGCCAGCGACGGCCTGGCGTAAAAGGCTAGGCAGAGAGCCTTTCCAATAAAAGGATAGGCTTTCATTGTGATAATCGATGACACTGGCAAGATTTGCAAACATATACTAGTCAAGGTTCAATAACTGACATGAATAGCCTGGGCTGTTGGCCGTAAAGAGAGGGCTTTTTAAAGCTGGAGCCGTTTGAAATTCTTGAGACGCTTGTCTCCAAGAAGACTTATATATACGACGGCACAAGGGCACGAGCAAGGTCAAGTGCGACTTAAATCAGACTATTATTTACAAGGACAATAAGTCTGGTGAGTTGGTATGGGTGGTAGACAAGACCTACGCCCCTTGCCGTGATGCTCAAGGCGCCTGATGTCTCCCCGCACCAGACGTGCTCGGCGACTTTCACCCTGTCATTATGCGGTACATTATTGACATTACTCCCTATCGTTGTATGTATACGGAGTACATGTACATTCCCGGACACGAGCTATTTGCCTTCAGTTGTCATCTTGGCGCCTTCAAGCCGAGTCAGAATGCCAGCCGGGACCTACCCGCAAGCCAGATCCTTTGAGCTCGTGAGCTCCTGAAGCTCCCCTCTTCTTGGGTGGTCTTCTCCGTGCCACGGTCCAGTTTATTTGGAATCACAGTCCAGCCCCCGCATTTTTAGCTATAAGCGAGCGACCTGACAAGAAAGTTTACGAGAGCTATGCACAGGGATTCTTATATTAATATTAGTCCTTTTTAATTCTAGTAGTGCGAACTATTCACTGCCCACTTTATGTCGCACCACGGACTCGGTAAAAAACCTCCGATTCCAAAATACAGTGGGGCGTGGACTGGTGCCACGTGCCACACCCCCGCCCGAGGCTCTTTCTGGTTCCATCTAATTTTAATCTTTTTCGACAAGCCAGACTGCTTAAACATGCACCCAGTGTGGCTAACAGACAGACCGTCCGAGAGTGGTCTGCCGCAGTCCGACAGGTCGGAGCAGGCCGTCGACCTGAAGTGGGCTGCCGCCTTGTTCCAGCATCGCCATTGGTCCGCCTCAGTTCAAGTAACTACAAGGGGCATGTCTTCTTCACGAGGCATTGTTACAAGGGCCTGAAAATATTGATTTGTTCATGTCTCCTTTGTACGCCCGCAGCGGCATTTCCATCAAGCAACTCGTCGTCGCCGTGGCGCGAGGGATTTACTTAAAAAAAAAGGAATTATTATCGAGCCCCCTATGCACCATATACGCCCTGTTCTACAGGCTTCCCCGGGTTCATTGTGACTTGCTTTCCGTGGTCGTCGGCGCATCAGGCCAAAATAGTCGCGACTACGTCGTTGATTGACTGCGTCTGGCAAGCTATTGCTACATTTCCGGTTAAACACTATGAGACTTGCTCAATTACCCAAATGAATCCATGTGAGTGGGGAATCGAGAAGGGAAAAACGTTGACTCTATTTAGAGAATAGGACAAAGCAGATGACGAGATAGAAACTCACACTTATGCGAACTGATTGTGTTGCTGCGCCAAAGGGGGACGACCTTTGTTGGACCAATATTTATTGTGCCTTCCATGTCGGTATAATAGGAGTATTCAGCGCCTCTCTTTAGTTATGCCGGGGGCCCGACGAACCTCGGAATAGCATGTCTGCGCCGTGTTCCGCCACGGTAGGTAGGTTCAACATGTCCATCGGCCCTTCACGACATGGAATCTATAGCTTGGCGACTGCCTGCTGAGCTGAGCCCAAGCTCCTTTCATGGCTCGCAGGGAAGAACTGCGCCTACTGTATTCGTGCCATGACATTCCTCCACATCTATCTGTCCTGCTTCACATTACAATTTATAAAGCTCGACAAGATGAACTAATGTCAAAGGCCATGGAAAGAGCCAAGATGTCAACTGGTGTACACTTATAGGCCGGATAGCGGGGATATTTGGCCATAAGCCGCTATTGCTGCATCATTTTGCTTCATGGTTTAGCAGTGCACCCGATAGCCACTCTGACGCTAAAGGACTAGTTGACCGAGTATAAAATATGGGACGGTTCTCCTTGAAGGCACGACTTGTTTGTTCTACGCTATTACATCTTTCTCGTCATCCGTCTAGTGACTAGTTATAAGTCTCTGAGTCTTCATAAACCTGCACTTCTATTCTCTTCTCCTTTTATGAAACAACTTGGAAAAGCCAGCGGACCATTCCCTAAAAGGGTTCGCATCTCTAGTATTGCGCTTGTAGTCTGTACGTCCATGGTCTTGTCTCCGTCTCTTATTAGTTTTCGTGTGCGATCTCCAAAGGCACTCGCGACGCTGCATGACCAGACTTGGATCCTACTGCCAACACGAAAACCATCTTATTAGTTGCTACCTCTGCTATTGCGGTGCCTGCCGAGCCCGGGTTCTGGCCTAGAAATCGGGACGGACAAGACAGACACGTCGAGTCCGAGATTGGGGGAGGGCCCGCAGTCATTACGCGTCAAGATCCTTCTCCTGAAGAACCTTTGTCCAGAGATGTAAAGCTTGCTAACTAGGAACTAGCCAAGTCGTTTCGAAAGCTTTTGGGGTACCAGAGAACCCTGACCAGCGATATCCAAGAGCGCAAGTTACAGCCCAAGACGGGTGTAGCTTTCTTCTGGAGAAGTCAAGATTGCCAATGAAAGTCTACTCAAGTAGACGCTACAATTCGCGCAGGAGTTGGTGGACATGGCTCAACCGCTGGCCGAAGGCGAAGGCGGACCCGTGCCCGGAGCTGAGTAAAAGAGCAAGCGCCCTACTTCTAGCCGGGCCAAGTTCGCAATCAATAGGAGACGGAGATGGCTGATGGAACGATTATGTGTGCTCGCTGGACTCTTTTCTCTCTTTATATATCAGATAGCTGAGGCGGTCGAGTGCTTATATTTGGTTGAAGTCGCCGTTCGACACGGGGGCCACGGAGAAACCTTACTTTATCTGGAATACAAGCACCAAGTTCTGTTGATTGATTCATGCACCTGGTAGAGTACCAAGCAGGGCACTTCTCGTGAAGAAGTAACAAAGGACGACAACCGGCGGCCCACGAAGCGCTCACTATGCACAGCCACGCCTTCAAGTCTCAGTAGCCTGCGCACATATAGAAAACCTCGATTATTGCTTGTCATCCTCACCACAGCCGGTGTACTAACTGGCGATGAGTCCCGTCAGTGCTCAGTGTCAGATGGCGTGTGACGAGGGCTGAGATAGCAGGGCTTGGAATAGCAACTCGATCCAATAATAACCGTCTTTGATATCAAGGGTCCTTTATTCTTCCCAAGGCCCTCGGGGACGAAGAGGTCTTATTCATACAAGGCCGCCTAACGCTTCTAGGTCTTTGAGCCTTTGTGCAACCTATTATTAACATGGGGCCCGTGTGACGAGACGGCCGTATCAGTTGGCAACCACGGAGGAATTATAACGCACCTTTACGTCGAGTATCGCTCCAAGTCTAACCGCTGCATTACTATGCCTAATATGGCCTCGTATTAATATTGAATGTAGAATCTGTCAAGATTTCTTGATTTCCATTATATGCCCTCTGCATCTCGAGACGGATACTGTCACTTTGCTGTTTGATGAGGTTTGGAATAAAGAGTGCAACGACTTTGGCCGTGCCAAGAGAAGCCCAGATGCTATTGGCCTACATTGGCTTCAGCCGTCGGAACCAGAAGATTCCACAGACACCACTAGGAAACCTGCCGGGGAGAGGTTTTACTGCAGCAATATGAGCCTTGACGATTTTTGAATGATGGTTTGACAGACACTGTGTCCATGAACTCGGTACGGATGCCCTTTTTTGTTTTGTACGTAGACCAAATCTGATACTAGAAAAAAAAAGATTACATTAAAAGTACAAGCTTGGCCGAAAATGGACCCCACTATGATCATTTTCTAGCCAATCCTGCCGACAAGTAGACTGTATGTACTTGAATGTTCACATTTACTAATCTTCAACACTCTTCTCCTTAATCACTTCCCCATTCCAAGGGTAACAGCAGTATAAAGACGCACAAGCACTTTAATAAATCAAAACCCGTTATGGGGACGTGTCCATTGATCTTGACCTAGGCGTCTTTTCTTCCTAGGTAATGGATCGACCCATCCCCTGAGAATTTGGCCAGGTCACCCGTCTGGAAGCATCGGGAGAAATCTCCATTACGTGAAGTGCAGAATGAGGGAGCCGGGACGAACATATTGGCAGTCTCTCCGCTGTCATCAAGGTAGCAACGAGCCAAAGACGGACCCTGGAGCACAGCTCACCCACGCTGCCAATCGCCACAATCTTTGTGTGGTCGTTCTGGTCTACAACCCATGCATGGCCGCAAGTGTCTCGGCCCAGCCTGGAAATCGGGTCGCGTGGATTGATGTGAGTCGTGCCGACCGCGAAGACAGAAGACTCGCATGGACCATACATGTTGCCCAGCTGCTTCACCCTCGGGTTCCAATACTCCACTGCTTCTGTCGTAATTGATTCTCCAGCCAGAATGAGAGTCTCATGGCTAGGAGCGGGAGACATGGAAACCAGAGTCGATGCGACGGTAGTGGTCAGGCATGCCCAGTTGACTTTCATGCGCTCCATGGCGGCCCCAAGATTATTCATTCGTTCCACGTCGGTAGGGACACGGACACAACCACCTGTCGAGAGAGTCATGAAGATATCATGTATACAAACATCAAAGACAAAAGCGGGGAAGTGCAAAGTCCTAGTCTTGCCAGTCATGCCCAGAAACTTTGTGTGTTGCTCAATGATGGTGCAAAGGGCTTTGTGAGAAAGAACTACGCACTTTGGCACACCAGTGCTTCCAGACGTAAACATGACAACAGCGACATCGCCTGGCCGAGTGTTCGATTCTAGATTCCTGATTCGAGTAGCTGGAAGACTGCTCACAAATTCTAGGTCCATTGTCAACACTTCAGCTAGCCCGACCTTGACATGTCCTGCAGTACTTGGGAAGTCAAGACAAGGCGCGCTCCCGCGGCTTCGACGATGTTGTTGATTCGACATGTTGGGTGAGAAGGATCGAGCGGCACAAACGCACCACCTGCTTTCAAGATGCCTAGCATGCATATAACGGCCAAGGGGCTTTTTCTTAGGCAGAACCGAACACGATCTTGCAGTCTGACTCCGCGAGACTAGAGGTAGACGGCCAGCTGCGTGGAAGGATTGTCAAGTCGTTGATAAGTGAAGACGTTATTGGACGTGACAATAGCATCTTTAAAGTGGATTCTCCCTGGCCTGTCGAATGGATATATCATGCACTAAACTTTGAACCGCTTGAACTTCTTGAGCGTTCCATGATTCGATTGTTGCAGTATACCGGGGACTGCACCTTGAAAGGTTGGAGAACTTTGCACGGTGAGACAGTAAGATTAGACATAATGGTTGTAAATGTGGCTGCCATGCCGCTGGCTGCATCTTCATGAATCTCGTTGGTCCAATATGCAATATCGGCCGTGATCCTATAAGGTTGTACATGGTAACGTTGACAGTACAAGCTTACTCTGTAGGGTCGTCGTTGGAAACGGGCTCAAAAGAGACACTGTGCATGGTTTCGGAATGTCTGGAATGACTTCACTGTATGGACATGACGGTATTGTAAAATGCTTGACCTTTGAGTCCCATACTATGTTGGATTGATGCCAAAGGCATATCTTGATGCTCCTTCGCATCAACATAATGGCGCTGAATCGCACTGAGCAAAGACGTAGTTGTTGTACACATCTCAAAAGAAGTACTTGATATAAGCACATCCAAGGGCGGGCCAATGGCATCCTCAATACCTCGAAGAGGCACGTCCCTGCAGGAGGACAAAATGCCAAAGCAGACGCTGTCAACTCCAGTATAAGCCTGCAGTACTAACTCCAGACGGCTTGCATAAAAGTCGGCACCGTGATAGATTTTCTCTTGCAGAACAGCAAGGTGGCCTGACTGAGCTCGTCGCTGATTTCAATCTCTTTCCTGTTGACTTTGTCTGCTGGATCGGAAGCAAGGGCTTCGGTCCATCCCTAGATAGCAGGGTGATACGCCTGCAAGGTACCTTTTCCAAAAGATCATCGAGTCTTGAGCAGGTACTTGCGGAACGTGATTGGCGTACCGATCGAACTGCAGGGCATCAGCATTCAATTGGGATCCTGTCATGTACGCCGCCAGAGGATATCGACACAGGAACCGTCGACTATTGCGTGACTGATTTGCATCTGCATGCAATCTTTGGAACTCTCGGTGATGTTAAAGTCGCCATGAATGTATGCAGTGGTAGCCGAATGGTCACAGCAGACAAATGATGCTCAATTACAGGCGGCATGTCACGCAGAAAGACTTGATCACATAGTCCGTCGGGGTTAGAACTAGGAACAAAGACAGATCTCAAGATGGAATGGCGTCTACGCGTCTTGCACGACCTTTAGGGTGATTTGTCGCCGTCCAGCCGCAGACGATATTTTTCCCAAGCCAAATCGATGTTGTAATGACTGGCAGTCTTTTGTTGGCCGATGAGCATGCCTGTTTGCAAAGGAGTGCAGCGGGTGACCGATTCAATGATGGCATTCTCCAAACCACTTGCAGTTGCCGTCTTTTCGAGTACTTTGTTGTACTCTTCCTCATTGAGCGGCTGCCAAGTGTCTTCTGACTGTTCAGTCTCGATGCCTGACCCTTGTTCGCCAATACTTGTTGACTGAGCAGCAACTTCTTGTGAGCTGCTGCCCTTTAGAATTTTGATGACGTTGCAAATAAGACCTTCTTGTCTACAACGCGTCATAACATGTATTGCGAACATGGAATCTCCACCCGAAGAAACGAAAGAGCTCGTCAGGGATACCTGGCTGGTCGGGATCTTGAGAATGGAGGAAATCACCGCTTGAATGATTCTATCTTGAGGGGTGGCAGGGTCTGTTATCGTCAGAGGCAATGCTTGAGCAACGGCTGAGTTGTATTCGTCATCTGTCATCTGCAAGATCAATGATCCAACAGCGTTCCGCGACAGTTTCCCAGTCAGCCCGACAGGCAGACGGTTGACAAAAAACCAAACAGCAGAAATCATATGGCGAGGAAGGAAAGCCGAGTTGATTTCGAAGGCTTGAAGCTTCGTTCTCACCCGACTTCAGTTTATTGACCCAGTGAGAACAATACTTTTCACGGTTGGAAAATCGAAGGGATTGACAAGGCTTGCAACTGTCGACGTCAAGGCCAGTCAGTTAACCTTCATGCGCTGAATCGCCCCTGAAATATCGTTCATCCGTTCTTCCTCAGTGGGGATACAGATGCACCCGCCACGCGTCGGGGTAGTCCAGTGGTCTTGGATACTGATGTCAAAATTGTAAGAGGAGAATTGTAGAACTCGCAAACTTCGACCCAACTGCAAAGCTTCGCCGTGGGCAGTCGAGGATGTGCTGACGTTGCGATGCGTCAACATCACTCCTTTCGGCCGTCCTGTCGACCCCTAAGTGAAGACGACGAAAGCAGTATTGTGAGGTCTGACGGAATGGCAAAGTACCCCCTCAGCTGTACCAATGCCCTCAAGAACACCATCGTCTACAACAAGCACTCGAGCCCAGTCTTGGAAAAGCGGCGCAGTAGTCGGTGACGCAATGACAAAACTAGCACCGACATCTTGCAGCATGTCACGCTTGCGAGCATTTGGATGAGCAGGGTCAACGAAAACATTAGCTGCTCCCGCCTTCAGGACGGCTGCCTGAGAAATCACCATTCACGCCGACTTTTTTCGAAACTCAAGGGAACCAAAGACTCTGGGCCGATCCCGAATTCGTCGGTCAAATACTGGGCCAGTTTTTGGGCAGCAGTATTGAGCTCACGGTAAGTATATGATCTTTGGGCTGGGAAAATACTGGGCTGTCAGGAATTTCTCGCACTTTTCTCTCAAAGCTGGCATGTATGCGAGTTTCATTAGCTGTCAGTTGAGAAGAGTTCCATTCGAGGATTTGCTGCTCATGTGTATCGGGAATGGTATGGTCTTGAGGTGGCCGATAGCCTTGCTAGGTGAGCTGGTGATACCACGCAGGAGTTGGACAAAATGTAGAGCCAACGAACGAGGCTTGATTCGTAGAAATTTTGTCGGTCCAATAATTCAGGGTGACGTGGATATCATTGTCGGAGACTTCAACGCCCAGACAAACATCGTATTCAGTGGGATCGCTTCCTGCTATGACCTCGATGGCCAGGCTGTTCTTGCTCCCATCATGGCTGCTTTGCTTGCGTTGTATTGAGACAATAGTGTTGAATAAAGGACTTTCCTGCAATTTGTCATGAACAACAGTTGCATTTCGGCCAACGACACATTCTGATGGGACAGAGACGCTATGAAACTTCTCCGCAATGCACCAAGTGCATCAAGAACGTTGACTTCTGGGCCAACTTTAAGTCGTAAAGGTAACGTATTGATCAAAGGACCAGCCATGTCTGCGATACCCTCTCCTGATGCATCTCGGTCATATGTCAGGTAGCCGTAGCACACATCATCACTGCTGGTATAAGTGCGAAGCACCAGAGTCCATGATAATTGAAGAATGTTGGCGATGGTGATGCATTTACTTCAGCATAACCTTTTGATTTCCGTCATATCAATCTGACACTCAATTGCTTAGCATTCAAGAGGCCTGAACGCGTTCTGAAGCCCCGGGAACGACAATGAATACGGGCTGGCGTCTTCAAGGTAGTCATGCCAGAAGGCCAGAGCTACCTCCCGGTCGCTCGACTGCAAGAACCCAATGTAGCTGCTGAATTAGGGTCCTTCAATTGACAGGTTGCTGTCATATGCTGTGGCAAGGTCCTTGAGAAGGATTGCTGTAGATGCTCCGTCAGTAAGTACATGGCTCATCTCCAATTCAATGACCACATTTCCCTCGTCAGATTGACGAATTCGAAGATGATGAGGTAGTGAAGCTCTATTGGCAATGGCACTCGAAGCTCTTTGGCTCAAAAATAGGGCATTATTCTCATCGCAGCCGAGGACTTTGATTGTTGGTACCGGGTTGCGCAGAACAATCTGGTAGAACACAGAGCCAATTGCTGGATCGTGTAGCAACACGGTTCGCGCTCACCGGGCCGTTATTCAGGCTAGACAATTTGCAGATGAGATGGAACTGGAAAAATTCCGCAGACTTCTCTTGACTGAGCAGCATACCTTCCTGAATGGGACTACATGGGTAAATGTCCTCGACATCGGACAGGATGGTGTTAAACAGAGCGTCGCCAGAGATGCCAAGAGCATGGTGTATGTCGGCCAAAGAAACAAACTGATGCTCCATGTTGTCAAGAAAGTCGGACTGACACTTTGCTGATACATCTGAAGTTGATTGTTCTCTGGTTAGATTGAGGTGGCAGATCATCATATTGATCGTTGGGCCGACGATGCTTTCAATGCCCTTTATTGGAGCTTCTCGACCTTGCGGACAAGTACCCAAAGCAGACCTTATCCAAGCCGGTAAACTTTTGCAGCACTAAAAGCCCAAGATGTCTGCAGAAGGGAAAAGAGGGTCAAGTTGTGTTTGCGACAGAACGCATGAACTTCGTTAGCGGGTATCCCTAGGCAGACTGAGGCGTTATGCTGACCGACAATGTCTTCAGTCTTACGGTCGGTCAACGCAGGGGAAAATGTTCGCTCTGTGTCTTCCAGATATGTCTCCCAGTGTTGTATCATCTTTGTGAGTTTTAACATATTCGGGGTATCATGGGCTAGTGCCCAACTGTGAGCCATGCGAGCTATGATTGTAGAAGAAAAGCAAATCTTTCATTAACGGCTCGATGCTGAGCCCATTGGCAGTCTTGTGGGCCATGTTAAACCGGAAGAACACTCTGCCCTGGTCGGTCGTGCATAGAGTGAGGCAGTGTGGAGGACGGTTTTCAGCAAACTCAGCCCTTTCAATAGCCTCCAAACATGAAACAGCTTCGTCGCAATTTGCACAATGAGTGGCAGACGTCATGGCTTGTGTTTCACGAAATGTAACTTGTTGATACTTGCCGTCAATAGTGCTCATATCTAGAAAATGGTTCGAAAAATTGAATGGCGTTGCACAACTTGATCCCAAGCAGACAACAACTTTTCCGGCTGGACTTGTTGCAGGGCTGCGGTGACCTCAGCTTCAATAATGGAATAGAATGTATACGATCCACTTCTCTCTTGTTGGGAAAGGAGCATTCCATGCTGAGCGGGTGGCACGGGATAGACCTCACCAACATTGGGTTCTTGAATACTTTTCAGGCGGAGGGCTGATTGAACATGCTTAACGTGCTTCCGATCTAAACTAGTAAAAGGAATGTCGACCATGGTAACTTGAGGTATCTGGATAGCGAGCGCCGAAGTCATGTCCTGCAAGAGATTCTGGCATGTAGATATCCAAGCTCTAATCTGGTCCTGATGTTGCACGTTCTTGTTGTAAAGAAAATGAAATGTTACTGCCTCGGGCTGAGACGATACTAGGACGTCAAAAAGAGCAGTTGGAACCAAATCTGACGAATGATTCAATGACTCAGTAGCGAGATCCGAGGGACCGAGCCTCTGTAGTGCCGCATGGCCCGCTTGATCTTGATGCTGCCTGCCAAGATAGTTGAAGAGAATTTTCGGTTGTCTGAGTGTTTTAAATTCCTTTTCGCCTTGTTTATTGAGGCACTGGAAGCAGAAAAAAGGCCGGCCGGCCTGAGGTGTAATCTCTTGACGTCCTTTGTTCTCACAATGGCATCAAAAATACTGCAAGTCGCACCAACATGAATTGGGGCCATCGTGGTAAACCAACCCACAGTACTCGTCAGGTCAGTAGTGCCTGTATCCCAGGTTTCCCTGCCGTGGCTTTCATAGAGTATTGACGCCGGTAAGCGGCCAGTAAAGGTCTGAGAGAATGCGTGGCTGACGGCAGCCGTTCATAAGCTCCACCGGATCGGTGTGAAAACATGTATTGGAAGGCCCATGCAGGGCCAGGGAAGTCTTCTTGTCAAGCGTGAATCATGCAGAGACGACGTCTTTGATCAAATTTCCTGCTGGTCTCATTCCCCATAGTCTGGAGGTGGAACTTCTTGTACCAAGACACATGCTGCATCATGCTTACCAACGCTCTGTTCTTCCTGCATCCTGGCCCAAAACTGGAAAGATACTGGGCTGCCTGGGAGCCGATGACCAGTTAAGATGTCCTCAAGATTTCGAGTGATAATATTCCATGATATAATGTCTATAATGAGATGTGAGGTAGCCATGAAAATAAGTTGTTCTTGATCTTGTTTGATAACATGAACAGAAAACAGCGGCCCCTTCGTGATGTCGAACTTGACGGTCGCGGCAAGATCACTAATTAGGACGCTTGTTTCATTGTTTGAGTGTGTTTCCTGTATGGAAAACCAATATGAACCAGCTATATCGGATGTGATTTTTTGATTCCACCTCCCGGTGACATTGTTCACAGTGAACCGAGCCCTCAACATCGAGTGGCGCTCGACGATTGTGTGCAGAGCACTGCGAATATGCTCATCGGCTCTAGGCTTGCTGATTCGAACCAAGCAGCTTTGATTATTCCTTGATTTACCGGAACGATTCAAGGCAAAGTAGGAATGCTGGATAGGTGTCAAGTTGAACTCCATGTCCAAGATCTCTTCAGCAGCATTCGCAGCGTGGGTCAGTGGTCGCATTTGAGGCAAGCTCTACCACATTGTGACAACGAAGAACGTCCTGAACTGTGACCTAATGCCTATGCGGCGGCACTGCGACACTACTTGCATGGCGGTCAATGAGTCTCCGCCAAGACTGATGAAGAATCGCGACGCGCCAACGCGAGGATTTCCAAGAACGTGCTCCCAAATTTCCATCAGCGAATTTTCCAAGTCTGTTGACGGCTTATTACCAGACACCTGATCCTCGTCAATCTTGTCTGTCAGAGCTTCTTCGTTTTTAACTTTCATGCAGTCCATTTTACCAGACGTATTCAAAGGTACGCGATGAACTACCAGCCAGACACTTGGTATCATATACGATGGAAGTTGGTTTTCGAGTGTGTCTTTGATTTTTTGCAGCTCTGTGTTGAGCTGCTTTCGCAAGTTTGGGTCTATAACCCTAATTGTCGAGCACGCCGTCGTTGGAGGATGCAATGTTCGAAGGGACAGGACTGTAACAAGCTTTCCGCTAAGCACCCTAGTGTCACGCATGTAAGCTAGAGCATGTCGAACCGAGGGATCGTTCCATAGGTTGAACTAATCTCGCCTAGTTCAATGCGGTTACCGCGGATCTTGACTTGGACATCTTTTCTGCGAACAAAACTGACGGACCCGTCGTAGTTGTATCGTCTCAAGTCGCCGCTGAGATACGTTCTGCGGCCAGACTGTCCGCTGCCCTTCAAAAAGGCAGGATCCTCAATAGAAGAGGCCGCGGTATGCTCGGGCTCGTGAAGGTAGTGCCTGGCAAGAAGCGGTCCTTTGATGAGATTTCGCTGACGGCTCCAACTGGAACCAGCATATTATGACCGTTGGGGTTAACAAGCCACATGAATGCACCAACTTGGTGACCAAAGTTGGCAGGGTTCGCGATGTTAGTAACACTAACATTACAAGATATGGTTATGCAGCACTCTGCAGGTCTGTAAATCAGAGATAGACACGTATGGTCCGCAAAAGTTTCGACGGTCTCCTTGCGAACTCCCTCATCACCAAGAGCAATGAAGCTCATGTTAACAACATCCTCTAGAGTAAGCATACTAGCAACAGTAGGAGTGAGGCAGGCCCAATTAGCTCGGTACTTCTTCAAAGCACCTGTCAAGTAATTCATTTTCTCCGATTTCGAAGGGACATAAACCGTACCGCCTCTCATGAGAGTTGTAAATAAATCTTCAATGCTAACATCAAACATGTAAGCAGCAAACTGAATGACTCGTGAGTTCTTTCCAACCATTATCGCGTTACCGTGCGTCTTTACGCTGGAAGCGACGGCATCGTGCTCTAAAACAATGCCGATAGGTTTTCCCGTTGAGCCCGAAGTGAACACAACGAACGCAGCGTTATGAGGCTGCACCGGAGACGTTCTTAACACAATGGACTCGTCGAACTGGGCAGTCTTTAAGTCCTCCAATGTTCCATGGCTCACCACGATGACTCTTTGGGCAACATCTGCGAACTGGTCGGCGTATGTGGCCGATGCCAGTATGTTATGAGCGTTGACATTCTTAGCAATTTCGACCAGCTGGCTATGAGGGTGCGAAGGATCCAGAGCAACACAGACACCGCCTGCCTTGATGATGACAAGCATAGTCACCACGTGCCGGCCAGATTTCTCAAAACAAAGGGAACAAAGACTTCGGGCTCAACACCGTTTTTGGTGTAGCTCAAGAGCCAAAAGATCTGACAACTCAATCAACTGCGCATAGGTCAAGTCCGGGTCCCATGAGCAGACTGCGGGATGGTTGGGTGCTCTCGAACCACGTCCTCGACAATATCATGTACACATCGATGTACCTTGGGTGAAGGGATAGAGTTCCACCTGCTTATCTGCCGAAGACTGGAAGGACCTGCAGGGCGAATGTCGGAGACAAGGATGTCAGGGTTGGCCACGATATCAACAAAGAGAGACTTCACCGAGTCTGCCATGAAACCAGCGACCTGATCAAGTATTGCCGTGTTGAGATAGTTGACTGCAAAGCCTAAAGATTCTGGTCCAACTTCTCAGTGAACAAACGTACTCCGTGGGGTCGTAGAAGTAGACTCTTTCTTTTCGAATGTTGCCGGATAAGTCGCCAGACAGAGCTGCTCTGGTCAGCGGCATGGAAGTGTTGAACAGGCTGGAGCCAGAAAGTGGTCAATCATGCTGAATCTTGATCAGAGGCACGTGTTGATGAGAAAGAGCATCAGTGTAATCCTGCAAGGCATCTCTCAACAGATCTCGGATAGACTTTTGGCGGCTCAAGAAAATCCGAGTCACTAAAGTGTTTATCAGCGGTCCGCAAATCCCATGGGGGTCTGTGCCCATTTCAATATCCCGACCCGAGGTTAGACTTCCGAAGTAAACTTCATCCGTTCCAATATATTGGCCTACAACGAGACCCATGCGACTTGGAACAAGCCGGACAGACTAGTCTCATTTTTAAAGGAAAGCCGTTCAGATTCAGAGACACTTCCGCTCATGTCAACGACGATGGTTCGATTCTCCTCTTGGTCTTGTGGCGCGACTTGCATGATGAGAAACTGGCAGGGTATGGCATCCTTGAGGTAGCCTTTCCAGAAGGACATGGCCTCTCACGTATCCAATTGTTGCAAGAGGGCAATGTAGTCGCTGTACTTTCCGGGTCCTTCTGGAACCTGCTCTCCATTGTGGATGCTCAAGAGTTCGCTCATGATCATAGAGTAAAAGTGGGTGGTTAACTACAACACCGATGTACAACTCTTCCCCGACCTCCTGCAGGCCAATGGCATGGGGTGAGGTCAAAGAGTTGAATCTGTGGCTATGCCATGAACGTAATTGATCAACCGGCTCTTCATTACTTGGTGGCAAGATTTCAACACTGGTGTCCAGTGCTTGAGTACCACTTGATCGTAAAGATGGTCTCCGTTGCTTTCAACAAACAAAGTGCGCAGCATAGGATGACGGCGTATGACTTGCGAGTATGCATCAGCAAGCCGAGATGTAGCCCATTTTCTTCCGCTTGCTAGAGACAATTTTGTGATCGTGCTAGATATGTACTGCTCTGGGGCCTTTTGCTGGCTCACAAGAATTCCCTCCTGCGCAGGCGTGGCAGGGTGAATTTCTTCGATTTTTCTAAGGTCGATGCCGGCTCTTGCAAGATGGCTAGTTGTCTTGTCCAAATGAGCTTGTTCTAGATTTGCCAACGGAACGTCCGCGACGGTCCAGAAGGCAGAATTTTGAGGAATGGCATCGATCAACTTGGTAAGATTTCTGATGATTTGACATGGAAAAGAAGCAATTTTTTCAGCAAACTTCATCTTGCTGTTTTAGCTCACATGGATCTTGAGTTCTCCGCCCTGTAGTAGGGCATTGATATCCACAAGGGCTGGTCGAGGCAGTGAAAAATCATAGTTGGCAGTGACACCCTCTTACAGAATCGGAATGAAGATGGACTCGGCGTAATCGAATTGGTCGTTCCGACCAAAGAAGTTGTACAGAATCTCTATTCCGTACGATTTCGGAGTATTACCACGATGTTCATGGAGATGGCGATGATTAAACTCGTTGGCACCTGCCAGAGTCTGGAGCTTCCTTGAAATCCAGGCGAGCTTTAGAGCGTCCAGAGGATCGGTGTCCTTTGAAATGGCCGCAGACAGAGGAGCCATAGTCGTGAACCAGCCTACAGTTCGGGAGATATCGATACTACTGTCCCAAACATCACGGCCATGTTGTTCACTGAAAATCGAGGGCGGTGGGCGGTCAGGAAATTCTTGGACAAAAGACGAGTAATAGAAGCAAGGAGCATATCGGCAATCTCACAATTGAGCGTAGCGGAAGCCAGGCTGAGCAAGTCGGGTGTGACGTTTTGAGGGAGTGCTGTGATGACTTCTTCCATGTCTGCGAAGAGATTGTCTTCTTTTTTCATTCCCCAATAGTCAAGGTCAACCCTGTGACCCGGGATTCCGGTCATGCCCTCTCCCCGAATGTGCCGTTCCTGCAAACGGGTCCAAGCTGAGAAGGGGGTAGAGGCCGGTTGCAGGGTGCGACCGAGTAGCAACTCTTGCAGGTCATTTATAATGATTCGCCAACTATACAAGTCAATCGCAAGATGCTGACAGATCATTGACAAGAATTTGCCCCCAGGCGTGGAGATAGAAGTAACAATGAAGAGAGGCCCTGACGTGATGTCAGTATCCTTGTGTCGAACAGTTGCAATGTCACAAACAGATTCAAATGAGCCAGCTGAGACCGTCCTGAAGTCAAGACAGTTCTTAGTAGATGACGAAGCAAACTTAAACCACTCATCCTGGTGTCGAATAAACCTAGAGCGCAGCTTTCCATGTTCTTTCACAATGTCGCGGAGCGCATACTCAATGTTAGCATCACTGAATTCCCTGGTCAATTTGAGTAAATAGCTCTGGTTAACATGATTCGCGCCGCTTGGAATCGACTCGAAGTGCATTTTTGGAATTGGATGAAAGTTGAATTGCTTGTCGACGATCTCTTCACACTGTTCGACTTGTGAAGTCTTTGTTGTCTGAACCATCTTACTAGCCAGTGCTAGAAGGGAGGAAGTTTGAAGAACATCGCATACCATCAGCCTATATCCTTTCAATGCACAGCGGGCAGTCAACTGCATTGCAGATATTGAATCGCCTCCGGACGCAATGAATGAGCTTTTGAAGTTGACCATGCTCGCAGATTTGTTCAAGATCTCCGCAACTGTCTGCAGCAGGACCTCCTCCTGATTGTTCGAAGGCCGCCAAAATGATTCCTCGACTCCAATGATTTCCGAATATTTGCTGGGATCCATCGTCTCCAGCCACTCTCTCAGGTGCTCCAATACGACCCAGTCAGTCGGCGCCATGTATAGCGCAAATACACGACTCGCCGCCGCACTGAGATGATCAATCATATCTTCTGCGTCTTTTCTCTGGGTTACGTTTATGATCTTGACGTTCAGGGATTCTTGAGGTTCCGCTGACCAGCCAGACCACGGCCACAAGCCGATGCTGAAACGGGCCAATTTTTGGCAAAAAATACAGCGGCTGTGGAGGCAAGCGCTATGATCTATCTCCATCTCACTCAGCTCAACCCGCTGGCCTCAAAGCTTTACTTGCGTATCTTGCGGCCAATGAATGACACAGTTCCATCCGAGTTGAGGCGAACAAGATCACCATTTTTGTAGAATCGGGCAATTTTTCTATTGCCCATTCCGGGTCAGTGACAAATGCGAGCTGCGTAGCCTCAGCGTTGTTTAAGTAACCCCTGGAAAGAATTGGTCCGGTAACCGAAGTTCGCCAACGCCCTCAATGGGCATAAGTTTGTGATGATTTGCTGCTTCAACAACGTACGTGGAGCATCCCATAGCTCGGCCGATGTTTGTGTGATCTAGACTTTGGCCACCGACCTCATATCGACTTGTCCAGATTGTGCACTCAGTAGGATAACGGCGGATATGGCTTGTATACATGTCGAAAATGGCCTTGGCCTGGTTCTGCGTCATTTTGCCATCCAAGAAGGTCAGCTCGGTATTCATGCTCTCATCTCCAAGAAGAATCAGAAGGCTGTCGTCGAACTCAGTTGGCTGATAGGCTGTGTTCACGGCCCTGCAGGCTGTTGGCCACCTTGTTAGGGCCCACATGGTCACGTGTGAGGCACCAGGTTATTGTTGCTACGCTGCCACCCTCTAGCTAGCTCTTCTTCTTCTTCTTCTGTATGATTAACTTCTTCACTTCTTTTAGCTCTCTTATAATATAACTTATTAGTTACATTATAAGCTCTTATAACCTCGCTATAGCTCCCTTTTATAAGCCCTTATATGGTAGTAATTATACTTGCTTACTCTCTTAGTTAAAACATTAAAATTTTAGCGTTATAAGGCCTCTTAATCTTAAAGAAAAAACATTACTAACTCTATTAAAATCCATTAAATTTTATTCTTAAATTAAGTTAATCTTATTTATACCCTTTAAGTTATTAAGAGAATTCTTCTTAATACTTATACTATTAATATCTTATAGTTTAAGACCTTAAAGCCTTAATTATTTTTTAAATTAAGAAATTCCTTAATTACCTAAGTAAGCTAAGAAATAAAGATATATTACCCTTTAAAATTATAAATAAAGCTAAGTAAATCTTATCTTTAAATGAAGTTACTTAGCTAAAAGACTCTTATATTATTATTACCCTTTAATACGAATTAGTAACGTGAATTATTACTAATTTATTTCGTTAAACCTTACTTTAATTATATTACGTACGCTAAAAATAAGCTATTAATAAGTTTACTTTTATACTTAAGCTAATATAAGTATTAAATTAAAGTTATAGTTCTTTTCTTACTTTATTCTCTTAATAATAATTCTATAATATATAACTTCTTTTTATTAAGTATACTCCCTTTAATTATAAAACGTGAGAGTCTCCCCTTTAAATATATTAAAAGATATTTCTATTAAAAGTAACCTATTAAGTCCCCTTATAAAACCTAAAGAATTTTATACTCTAATAAACGTAATAAAGTTACGTTTAATTACGAAAAGAGCGGATATTTATTATATTAGTAACTTACTATAAGAGTAAATTTAAACTTAATAAACTCTTATCTTAAGCTCTTAATTAGCTTC